GCGAGGACCCAAGTGCGGACCCTGGACACCCAACAGGACGCCCCGCCCCGCCCCGCCTGCGCATCCATTTAGAGCTCCTCCCGCGGCGCCGGGGATTCTGGGACTTGTAGTCCGTCCCGTCGCCCCAGGGCCTCCGCGACCCCGGCCTCGGACTACATTGCCCAGGGAGCCTCCCGGTCTATATAAGGCTCTGGGGAGCCGCTTCAAAGTGCAGTAACCATGTGGCTGTGCTGCTGAGGCGCTTCCTCGGGCTCGCCGGGTGGGAGGAGAGGAGGAGGAGGAGGTGGAGGAGGAGGAGGCAGAGAGGGTGGAGAGAGAAAGCCACGCCGAGAGGAGGTGTGGGTGTTCCGCTTCCATCCTAACGGAACGAGCTCCCGCTTCGCAGCATGGGATTACCCGGCGGCTGCTGACCCCGCTCCTCACCCTGCGCCCCGAAACCGCCGTGGCTCCCCGGGCAGCAAGGTAGCGGCTGGGGCCGGGCCGAGGGCGCGGGGAGTTGGACTGTCCCCAGGACAGCACAAGTTTTTGCGCCGCTCTCTGGGAGTTCTTGGTGGATTTGCAAGCACTTGCAGGCATCTGTGGGTTCTTTTACTGCGGGCCTTTTTTTCTGGGGGCGGGGGGGGAGTGGGTTCATTTGCGGTTAAAAACATTTTGACGCCAGTGACTCGCTTTGAGGGCGACCCGGTCTGGGCTGGAATGGCATTCCCCTGAGTTGGAAACTGTTGCAGCAGCTGCAGGAAATAGGTTGTTTTTTTGGGGGGGCGGGTGGTGGTTGTGGGGGTGTCATATGTGAGTCCGCTCAAGGAAACCATCTTTCTCAAAACGTAACCCTCGCTCGAGCCGCACAGTTGGGAGAGTCGTGCTTGTGTGTGTGTGTGTGTGTGTGTGTGTGTGTGTATGTGTATGGCGGGGGGGTTATAAAACGGGGAGCCAGGAGGGATGAAGTGTGGACGGAGCCGGTGGGGATGCGGGTTTCTGACCCTCGGCCTCCCCACGGGGAAACGAGAGCCGCCAAACACTTCCCTTAGTCCCAGCCCCGCGCGGGCCAACTTGGTGGTGCCCAGCCTGGCTTGTGGGTCGCACACTGGAAGTGAGTACCCAGGTTCCCCGGACTCTTCGCCCACGTGATCCCACACACCTGCCTGTCAACTGGGGGGCAGGGGGTGTCTCTCCAGGAAGGAGGTTAAAGAAGGTGGAAGGTGGGGATTTGGAGCGTTTCCCTTAGGGACCCAGCGTTGTGGTCTCACACGCCCTCTTCCTTCTCAATCCCCAGGAGCTGACTGCTGCGCGCAGGACTCGCACCCCTGGCGGGACACGTTCTGGCAGCGGAGTGCCTGACGGGGGTCAGGTGAGTGTGGAAGCCGGCGAAAGCTGCGGGCAATAATGAGTTCTCGGCCGCAGCTGCAGCCTGTTTTACTCCTCTCTAAGGGGCCGTGGAGATGGGGAGGGGAAAGAAAAGCCAACTCCATGGGGGCTCAATCTCCAAAACGTGACCTGGCCACTGGGGAGGGCTCCCGGGAGCAGGTGAGACGCAGGGGCCAGTCTGCCCCGAGCTGTTGGCGGTGGCTCAGAATGGAAGCAGCCTGCAGGCTCAGGAGAGGAGGGCAAAGGCCATCGGGGAGGGCCATAGAAGGGGCGTCCGTCCGTCCGTTGGGGGACTGGGAATGGAACTCGCCAGGCAGCGTGCTGATGACTTAAATCCTGAGGGATGCAGTGCCCGTCGGCTGCCAAGACGTGGAAGCAAAAATGAACGGCTTCTCTCGTTCAAAAATAGTCACTTTCTTTTTTTCTTAACGTGAACGTGTGTTTCCTCAGGGTAGGTTGGACTGCAAGAAATGAAAGTGGCGGCCGCCAAATGGAAAGAGGTAGAACTTTAAAAAGGGAAGTTAGTTCTTGAAGCAGAAGGTGGGGGCATCCAGCCCTGGACGCGAACCCCCTCTCTGCAGGTCAAGGATCTGAGGGTCCCCGCTGTGAGGTGCCTTGTGGGATAGGAGCTGAGGGCCGCATTTATCAGTAAACGAGCAGCTCGCATATCCCCCTCCCCCCCAAAATGGCCAGACTGCACTTTAAGAAAGAGGTTTTTACGGGTCCCATTGCTGCAGATCCAGCCATCACAAGTTTTTCCTTCTGAAATGGTCAGGAGCGGGGTGAACAACAGGGTAAGGGGCGGGTGCTGGGACTTCGTAACTTCTTGAACATTCTAAATATTTAGCTGTTCCCTGGGCTACAATCTTGGGGCTTTTCTAATTAGAAAAGAAAAGCCAGACACTTCATTATGGTCGTCCAGGGCTCTTGTTTCCTGCTGATAAGATCCTCGGGATGCGGGTGGCTTGGAGCATTCGGATGTGTGAGGGCCAGTTCCTTCGGGGAGCTCCAGGGACTGGCCACTGTGTGGGCACGCCAGCGGCCGGGCCTGGTTCAGCGCGCCTCCGCCGAGTGTGCTGCAGACCCGCGAAACCGGCCCAGGTCTTCTCCAGCTGGCTGCTACCTTAATGCTGACACATGAAGTACATGTAAGCCTGGTCCAGGACCGGCTGCCCCAGAAACCCCGGGGGGTCAGGTACAGGTGAAGGAACTGAGGTGCAGAGAGTGGAGTCACGTGCTCACACAGGTGGGAGCCAGGTATAACCATAACCAGGTTGGGGCTGTCCTGTGCCCACACGTGCACCTCAGTCGGGGGCGGGGAGGGAGAAACTCGGAAACTTGATAAACGTATTGCTGTTGCTGAAATAAGTCTTGCTTATGTCCCACCCAGGGGGAGTGAGCACTGTGTCCCCTGATGGAGGAAGGAGATGGCGTGGCCCCAGGTGTGGGGAGGGCAGAGGGTGGGTGTTGGAGGAGGGGTGTGTTTGGAAAGCTGAGTGCTGAAAGCCTGGATGAGAGGAAAAAAACCAGACCATGAGGAACGTTGTCTGAGTCCAGCCTCAGGGGCATCTCCTGCCTGAGCTCCACCTTGATCGTCTCCATCCAGGCCTCTGAGCTGGTGAAAGGAGTCGGGCATGTCCCCATCTGAATAGGAAACCTTTTTTTGTTTAAATATATATTTTTTATTGATTTCAGACGGGAGGTAGAGAGACAGATAGAAACATCAATGATGAGAGAGATGTGCACACCCCACGCTGGGGATCGAGCCCGCAACCCGGGCATGTGCCCGGACCAGGAATCGAACCGTGACCTCCTGGCTCATAGGTTGACACTCAGCCACGGAGCCACGCCAGCCGGGACAAAACCTTTTCATATTCCTTGCAGTCTGCTTGGTGGCCGGTTGGGCTGAACCCTTTTTTCTTCCTTTCTTCTGTGCGTGTGTGGAAAGCACCGCCTGCTCCGTGAATAATTCACATCAGAACAGAATCCCCGATCAGGACTGGCTGTCGGGCAGGGAGAGTGCGTCACGCTCTGAATGAACTGCTCCTGGCCTCGCTCAGAGCCCCGGGGACGTTGCTGGAGCCGACAGGGTGCTCCCCGGTTCAGCAAAGTGGTCCCTCTGCAGGGACCTGGCGTCTCCTCTGTCGGGACTGGGGCTGGGTTTGGCTGCTGAGAGAAGTAGGTGAACTCGAGGCACATCTGTTGCCTTTTCCTCAAAATATTCTCAATGGAGGGAGACCAGGGAATGAAAGCGAGACAGAGAGGAAAGAAACTTCTAATCCAGTGACTTAACCCAGTACATAACCAGCCGACTTCCAGAGAAAAAAGTGAAATGGCTTTTTTGATCATTTATAATGATCTCATAGAAGCGGTCTGGTTTCCTTACGAGCAGCTCTTCAAAAGCAAACCGATGTGGCCCTGGCCGGTTTGGCTCAGTAGTTAGAGTGTCAGCCCTCTGACCAAAGGGTCTTAGGTTCGATACCAGTCTAGGGCACGTATCTCAGTTGCAGGCTCGACCCCCAGCCCCAGTTGGCCGAGGGTGCATGCAGGAGGCAACCAACCAATGTGTCTCTCTCACATCAATGTTTCTCTCTCTCTCTGTCTCTCCCCTCCCTCCCTTCCACTCTCTCTACAAAAAAAAAAAAAAAAAAAAAAAATCAATTTGAAAAACATCCTCGGGTGAGGATTAACAACAACAAAAAAGCAAACCAATGTGAAACAACAAACACCTAATAAGAACAACAGGAAAGCAAACCACACACAGAGAATAAAAGTCGGCCTGGAGTTGGGTTTCTAGGTCAGGCTGCCCCGGGCCCCTCTCATTAAGGAGTCTGCACAAAGCCAGTGTCCCATCTTGTTTGCTGTTGGTTTGATCTTTTAACATAAAACACATGCAACGCAGGCTCTTCGGTCCCTGGAAGTGCCTGCGACGTTTTCGTTCACTTCTGCTGTGTTCAGTTGGCTCTTTCGGCGAAGTCAAGGAAGGCTTGAAGTCAGAGACGGGACAGAGGTGATTTCGCTTCTTCCTGCCAATTGTCAGAGCGTCTGTGGTTCCCAGGTTAACGCGGATGAGCTGGAAAAAAAAACACGGAGCGCTTGACCTACTGAGCTGCATCGCAGAGGCAGCCAGGGTGTCCGGGTTCTTGCCTGAGCTGGACAGAGTTGAGGCACTTGGTGTGACAAATCTATTCAAGGAAGTCTACTACCTGTTAAAGGGGTACAGTCCAGGTGTTTACTCCATTGAGCGTTTTCTCTGCGCCAGGGTGTGTCCTAAGTGCTGGGGACCCAGCCATGCGAGGCCCGCTCCCTGAACACCTGGGTGGCGGGAGGCGTCCAGCACAGATGAGCAAGCGCTATGGTGTAACAGGTATAAGTGCTGTGGAGACGAGAGGCAGAGCAAGGGGGAAGGGAAGGCACGTGCAGGCGAGGACGTGGAGCAGTTGGAACCCCGTGCACTGTTGGGGGCACGGAGAGCGATGCGGCCGCTGTGGGAAACAATGTGGGGGCCCCTCAAAACATTAAACAGCTGTAACCGGTTTGGCTCAGTGGATAGAGCGTCGGCCTGCGGACGGAAGGGTCCCAGGTTCGATTCCGGTCAAGGGCATGTACCTTGGTTGCAGGCGCATCCCCAGTGGGGAGTGTGCGGGAGGCAGCTGATCGATGTTTCTCTCTCATCGATGTTTCTAGCTCTCTATCTCTCTCCCTTCCTCTCTGTAAAAAATCAATAAAATATGTTTAAAAAACAAACAAAAAACATTAAACAGAGACCAAGGGGTCCAGCAATTCCACTCGTGGCGACTTGAGCGGATACTTATGCACTCATTGTCAGAGCAGCGGTCATGATTCACAATAGCCAAGACTCGGAAGCAGCCCAAGTGCCCACTGGCAGGTGAAGGGATAAGCAAAATGTGGCCTGTAGGTACCGCGGACTATTGGCCTGTAGGTACCATGGACTATTGGCCTGTAGGTACCGTGGACTATCGGCCTGTAGGTACCGTGGACTATTGGCCTGTAGGTACCATGGACTATTGGCCTGTAGGTACCGTGGACTATCGGCCTGTAGGTACCGTGGACTATTGGCGGCCTGTAGGCATGGACTATTGGCCTGTAGGTACCATGGACTATCGGCCTGTAGGTACCGCGGACTATTGGCCTGTAGGTACCGTGGACTATTGGCCTGTAGGTACCGTGGACTATGGGCCTGTAGGTGCCGTGGACCATCGGCCTGTAGGTACTGTGGACTATCGGCCTGTAGGTACCGTGGACCATCGGCCTGTAGGTACCGCGGACTATCGGCCTGTAGGTACCGTGGACCATTGGCCTGTAGGTACCATGGATTATCAGCCTGTAGGTACCGTGGACCATTGGCCTGTAGGTACCGTGGACCATTGGCCTGTAGGTACCGTGGAATACTATTCAGCCTTAACGAGGAAGGACATTCCCACACATGCTACAATGTGGGTGAATTGTGAGGACATTGTGCTAAGTGAAATCAGCCAGTTACAAAAGGACAAGTATTGTCTAATTTCAGTGGGGTCCCTAGAGCAGTGGAATCCATAGAGACAAAGTAAAGTAGTGGGTGCTGGTGGGGGTGCTCAGTGGGTAGAGAGTTTCACTTTGGGGAGAGGGAGACATCCTGGAGATGGGTGGTGTGACGGATGGTTGGACAACACACATGGACTCAATGCTACTGAACTGCGTGCTTGGCAGTGGTGACGAGGGTGCATTTTATGTTGTGGGTGTGTGTGCTGCCACTGAAAAACCCACCAACAGGTAACGACAATAACAGCAGCAAACACAGGGAAGGGGATAAAGGAGTCCTCAGGTGGGGATCAGGAACCAGGGAGGGGTTCTTTAAAAAAATGTATTTTAATGTTTTTATTGATTTCAGAGAGGAAGGGAGAGATAGAAACATCAATGATGAGAGAGAATCATTGATTGGCTGCCTCCTGCACGCCCCCTACTATGATTTAGCCTGAAACT